CCTTTGATGTGTATCACCAGTGATCAGTCAAGTAGAAACAGTCAAAATATTTTATCAGATTTTCTCAATTTTTGCATGATATTTTCATACAGGACATCTGTTGTTCAAACTCAGGGAAGACTTTATACTGATGAATAAGGTGACCAAGTTTGATAAAGTTTGGAATAGAATTAGTAAAGTTATTATGCACACAATAACAATTATTAATGACGACAACAACAACAACAACGACGACGACAACGCCGGACAAAATTTTCCCCTTAATATACCTTTCCCTTCCATCTTTGATGGTACGGGCAAGGTAAAAAGCAATCGGACACTTTCACTTTTTACCAAAATTATTCACTAAAATTAGAGAATTAAAGATATCATCATGAAATTAGGCAGAGGGTTCTCTGAACCCGCCTATTCACATAGTTCATACCCACCATAGACTCAGTCAAAATGACTATTTTGAACTGTAGGCATTAATCAACAATTCTGCCGGTGACGGAGAGATAGAATCTAGGTCAGGGGAAGCCCCATGACCCCAAGATTCTCTCTTCCTTACGTCACGAACCACGTGACCAAGGCCATATGGCAGTGTCATTAACGGCTGTACAATCAATCTGGTTCCTTTCTCTCCGCCTCAAGGACTTAGACCAACGCTACGGAAAGAGTGGAGTGGTTGGGGGGGGGCAGAGTCTATGGTGGGTATGAACTATGTGACCAGGCATGTTCGGAGAACTCTCTGCCTAAATTCACTACGTTCAATTACCCGCCATAGACTCCGGTCAGTCAAAATGACTATTTTTAACTGTAGGCAGAGTCAGACGCCGATAAGTGGCAGGTTTTCTGAGCAAACAGAAAAATGATGAAAGTCTGTTCCCAGTCCGGGATGAAAACAAACTACAATAAACTCTACACCTTAGTTAAGACCCAAGAAGGGTGGTGTCTTACCTTGCCTGTGCTGTCCCCGAAGCAAAATGCTGCTATGGTGACAGGGTTCGGTGTGCCCGAGAAAGCTAGGCCCCAACCCGATTTCAGGGGTAATAAGCTTGAAGTAAGGACTCAAACAGTTCTGCATGAGGGCGTAGGTCGAAAAAGCGACACCTGGGAGCTTCCAGAAAGTGCTAGTGGTACAGAAAATCTGTCCGCAAGAATGCTGAGACTGACTTATCGCCTATGCGCAGGGGCCCCTGTAGTCGTTCGGGCTGGGTCAGTAATCAAAGTCTGACCCGCTACGACAGGGCCTAACCTGAAGAGACCCTGCTCAATAGATTGGGTATCTCTTAGGTAGTAGTTGATAAAGACGTTCTGGGTTCTCCATAAGCCTGCCCTCAGAATTTGTTTGAGGGAGGCCGGCTTATCCTGTTTGCCAGGGCCGTAACACAAAAACATGTGTTTGAATCAATGTCTGAAAAACCAGGTACAGTTCTCGTAGCAATTCAACGCTCGAACTGGGCAGAGAAGCAATTCCTCCTGATCCTCCGGACTGACAATATTTGACAGCCGGGGAATGATGATTGACTGAGGATCATGTCCTGGGATTTGATTCTTGGCGAGAAATATGATTTGTGTCTTTAGCACAACTTGATCGTCCATAAAGGCAGCACATCCGTCCATGAAAAACAGTGCGCCTAGCTCTGACCGGCGCCTACCTGAGGCGAGGGCCAGTAGGAAGACTGTTTTCCACGTCAAAAACTTGAGTAGTGCTGAAAGGAGGGGCTCGAAGGGTGGTCTGCTTAGGGCTGATAACACAACCGACAAATCCCAATTAGGTGGGTTGCCTTGTACGGGTTCTCGGCCTCTGATTATGGAAAGCAGTAAACAGTCTCCTAATAATAGTACAATTGGCTAGACTTGACCCCAAATAGTTTTCTATGCCGGGGGATAAGGCTGACCTGTAGCCAGCGATCGCTGCATAGGACAAACCTACTTCGTCAAACAGGTGGACAAAGAAGTCTGCTACCTGGCCGATAGAGGGATGGCATGGATCAATCTCCCTTCCACTACACCAATTAGTGTATGCTCGCCATTTTGAATTGTAGGCAGCATTGGTGGAATCTCTGTTCGCCCTGGCCAGGACATTGGCAGCCCGCTTAGATAGACCTTTCGTCTGCGCAAGTCTACTGAGAGCCTCCATGCGTGTAAGTGGTACACTGCTGGGCTTGTTGGTAGTGTGCTGTCCAGTTGGGACAGCAAGTCTGGTATGTCCGGCAACACTACCAGTGTTTTGCCCATAATTTCCAGCAGGAGCGGAAACCAGGCCTTGGTCGGCCAATTGCGCCACCAGAGTTAATATGCAGGTGGGCTCTTGTCGAAGTTTCTCCAGTACCAGGTAATTTAAGGGGGAAGGGAGGAAAGGTGTACGCATCCATGTGGGTCCACGGGATCAATAAGGCGTCCACGGCCCAGGCTCCTGGTGTCAGCAAGAGTGTTACATACATTGGGAGCTTGGCGTTCCGGGGTGCAGCAGACAAGTTTATCTTTGGACCCTCCCACAGCCGAAACAGCCTGGAGGCTACCCACTGGGGTATCTGCCACTCCGCCTCGACTGTTCCTCACCCCTGATAGGTGGTGTGCGGTTAGCTCCACATTGTATTCCAGGCACCAAGGGAGAATTTGCTCTGCTAGGACCGACAACAATGGGGAACGCGCCCCCCCTTCTTGTTGATGTAGGAGACTACCGCTGTGTTGTTTGTGCTCGAGCCAGTTGTTATGGTGTTCCAGAACCCACTGTGGGGGCCATATTTCTTGGACTTGTTTGTCCAATAGATGCGCTCCCCACCATTGGAGGGAGGCGCCTGTTACCAGTTAGCTGTCCAAGGGGACCCCGTGTCCGAGGTAAGTCAGTGACGACCACTAGGACAGGGTTTCCTTCACTTGGTCCGGGATCAATAATCGCCTGTCTGGTTCCTGTAGGTGAGCTCAGTGTTCCAATAACAAGCGTTGGACCGGGCAGCTGCGTAGTGCGGCCTGGGGAACTACCCTTCAACGGAGGTCATCATTCCGATGAATTGCATTAGTTCTCGGAGGGACACTTAAGGAACACTGACTAGGCATTCTGCTAGGTTGCTTAGCGCTAGGCAATGCGCTCGAGATGGGCAAACCAGGCCTACGTCAGTGTCGAACTCCATGCACAGAAACACCAATTGTTGAGTCGGGTCGGGATGGGACTTTTTCTGGTTTACTAGAAAGCCCAACTGGGGAGTAAATCACAAAAATGTGCTCCAGTGAGGTGCCCATGAATTCTAGAAAATTGATGGGTCACAACTCTGCCTTCAGGATGTGTCTCAGACTGAATCGGTGAGAATGACCATGGAACGCGGCCATCCCCCTTTACCTGGTTAGCAAAACAGATTCATGGTACCGGGGTCTGGGGAAGTAGCCTTGGGGTCCGGTCGGGGGCTTTTGTTTTGTCCCACAAGTTGGGATCCGAATCCGAAATTGCCCCGATAGGGTAGCGTTTGGTCCAGCGAAAGGGGTTATACAAAAGATTACCCCAGCGAGGAGCTTTTGGCGTTACCTCCCCATGGCTGACCAATGGCCGCCCCTCAAAACCGTCTTTGTGTCATCCGCCCCACTCAGCTGGACCAGGAGAGACGTGCGGGCGGGGTCGATCTGGATCCCGCTGCATGCGATCCCATAACGTAGAAGCGACCGTGAGTGATTGCTTTAGGATCAAGGGTGGGGGAACATACATTGTGTCACCTGGATTGATAATATTCCACATCATGACGCGGACTAACTGCCTCCTCTCAACTTAAATACGTGGGCGAGAGCGTGTTCGAGAGTGCGTCTCATGAAAGGGTCGGTTAACTCTGGGAACGCCTGTGGGACGGTGAGAAGGGGGTCGAACAATGTGTACACTGTCCCGGATGCCCTGCCCCGAGATCCGAGCCTTGGCTACCAGCATCCCCGTTGGTGTTCCGTGCCCGAGGTCCCCCAGGAGACTCGGTGCCACTAGCCTGAGCCTTGGCCTCCCCCAAATTAGCTGGTTGGGTGTGTGTGTTCACGGCTGGGAACGGGGGGTTCCCTGGAAGAGACGTGTCTCGAATGCGAGCGGTGCTTCCTGTGTTTATTCCTGCTTGCCGACTGAGAGGCAGCAGTGGAGACAGCTCGCTTCGACTGCATCTGGTCTACCCGGCCTGCCAGGGACGCAATTTGCGCCGACAGCCCTTCAACCATTGCCCTCATCTCAGAGGTAAAACCGACGCTGTGTAAGGATGGATCCACAATGGGATCGACAAGGGGACCCAGAACGGGCCCCATAAGAGCAACAATCTCTAGGGGCACAGCCTCGCTGTTACCGGTAAAGTCGGGTATCACATCACCTGCAAAAACAGACTGTGAAGATGCCCTCCAATCAGCATGGGGAGACCGAAATACATCATTACCTCCACCATCGGGTCTCTTGCTTGACGTCTCGGTACAAGAACCGGTAGCCGAGCGCGAGAACTTCTCACTCATGCCAACGCACAACTCACCCTTACCGGTTAAACCTGACACGCGACCTTTTCGCAAGCAAACAACGTGGTCAGTCTCAGCAATCTTAACGCAATGCTGGAAAAAATCCCAGGCCCCAGAACTCCAAACATCACAAATGCCCTCTGGACGAACGCCTGAACCCCGTACGCAAATAATACACCGATAGCATTTAGCATGTGGGTTCCAATCTTGTATGTTCTGTGTACAATTGTTGCAAACCCGCCTCAAAAACTGAGGGGATAAAACCGGCGGCGAGCTTCTGGCACTGCCAGTGCATCTATCTATTTCTAAATACATTGTAAATAAAAGACGACATGCATGAGGGAAAACGAAGTACAGTTGTAAAAGGTGCCGCCGCGAAACCAACAAGTGGTTACATAGTGGCGCCGGGTTTTAATTTCTTTGTTGTGGAAAATTATTACACACAAAAGGGAAAATGACATAAGGGTAAAGAAGACAAGAAAAACTTATCCTACCAGCTAGAGTGTCGGATGCTGCGGCAATAACCCACGCTAGAAACCTGGACAGGAAAAAGCAAACGAGCCAGGCAGAGCCGCTCAGAATCATTCCCGGTGAGGCGGAGATGAAAGAAGAGTGATTGTACAGCCGTTAATGGCGCTGTCATATGGCCTCGGTCATGTGGTTCATGACGTAAGGGAAAGAGAATCTTGGGGTCATGGGGCTTCCCCTGACCTAGATTCTATCTCTCAGTAGACATTTTGACTGATTGGAGTATATGGTGGGTAATTGAATGTAGTGAATTCAACAAATCTGAGAGAGGTCCACATGTTGTACCTATATAAGTAATATCAAAGCAATTGGACTTGCAGTTTTCAAGAAGAAGTCGAAAAAGTAAAACATTGACACGAACCACGACGGACAATCATTCATATGATAAGCTCCGCTCGACAAAGTTGGTGGTAAAATGAAATGTAGGTAATGCATGTATGCAACAAATTATTATTCAATGATACCTGGATATTTTCGCTTGAATGACTTGACTGCTAAAAATTCACTGACTTGTTCTTGTAACATATACATATCACCATCTTTGTTTGGAGGCCACTGATATTCATATAAATTTCAGCTGGGAATAC